ACATCGTATTCTGCGAGCGACTAATGTGCCGCCCGCCGACGCCAGCCGTGCCGCGGCCCCAAATGTCTTCCCCGGGCAGTGACCAAAGTGTCATCCGCATAGCATATGACACTCATGCCCGCGAGTAGGACGCCCCGCAGGAGCCGGAGGATTTTTTAAATTTTTTAATCGGGAGTGCTGGGCCCCTGGTCATAGTGGGCCCCTGGACATAGTGGGCCCCTAGGCACTGGCCTAAAGTGCCTTATGGATAATACGGCACTGGGCATGGCATAACGCGCTCATTAGATTGGTATTTGAATTTGACCACATGTGGAGTGCAGAAAACGCGTTCTTCGAACTATATTAACTCTGCGTCAAGAACGCGTATTGACAAACACATTACGAAAAGGCAATTTCGCGCAAATATACCGTGTAATGCATCGTTCATCGTGGCAGCGCGCAATCAGCGATCGCGATCGTCTCCCGCGCACCGTCCACGATCAACAACCCACACGCCCCGATGACTTACAATCGCGCATATAATTGAAAACCTTTGCCACTTGATAGATTAAGCTCCCGCATTCCGCGACTCAATCGAGCCACTCCATAAAAACTAACGAGCATACAACATATTAGTTTTATACCAGTATTTATTGTACAACTATCCGTTTTTATTGCTCTCTTAACAAATATGATGGATCGTTGCCGCTGCAATACTTTTTGCTCAATTTATTATGATTGCGATTAATTTAAAACCAACAATTCAAGTTTCAGACGTGTTGTTGCAGCGGTTCCGTAGTTTTGTTTTTGTTCGGGCAGGTGATTTATTGCTTTCAGCTACGGACGCGTCATACGGCGTCACTTTGTGGAAAGTTGCGACAATTTAAGGAACATCGTCCGCCGCAAGTTGTCTCGGCCGCTTACGCATGCATTACGTAGGCTCGTCGGTCTCAAAAAGGCATCGTGCGCAGGCGGCGATCAATCGTATCGAACCGCGACGATAGCCAAACAACGCATCCATTGTTCGCACTCCCCAATGCCGCAGGTGCAAGAATTTTTGGCGTAGGTATACGACCTCATCTGAAATAAACCTTTTGTTATGTTATAATTGTGCTGCATTGTTGTTCTCGCTGCGTTCCCGAAATAAGTGCCGTTAAAATAACGCTCAAGTCAATTAACCACGCCCGAAATAGGCGGTGGTGAAGTTTTAAGAGCCCGTGTGAAACGGGAGCGATCTAAACTATGAGAACTAGAATAACAATGGCGATAAATATCGGGTTAACTAGGACTCGGCCTCGCGCCTTAGGACCCGTTAAATAAATACTACCAAATAAATTGGAAGACAAAAATAAAACACAATACGTGATAGCTAAGTTTCCCATCATTATTTAATGATTGATAGTTACTTTTGTTGTCAAAATACACAGCCTTAATAATTAAATTATGCCAATGGAACTATGTCACATAAAGGACTACCTTTATTTCACGTTATTTTTCTTGAAACAACCTGGTTTTTGTAAGTATTTTCAATACACCATGTGATTGTAGTTCTTTCCATGTAACGATGCTGGTTTCCAGACCTTTTAAATTGACGTCTAGGGCTTAACAGATCACTAGTGGGCAACCCTTCCCACAGGTGGCCAGGGCGCTATTTATAGCCGCGGCCTTGAAGCACCACGCTTGCAACACCGGCCACAAAAATAAGCGCTCGCCACAACACTACGCTCCGTGGGCGTCATTCACACGACCAGACTATGCACAACATCTTTGAAGCCTTTAGATTATGCCTATTTAACGTATGATATGCCCTCACTCAAACATGTAGCATATACATAGGTATTATAATCTCATCAGTTCCAATCTTAGTAAATTCGAAGCTTAATTATATTTTCCACGCCAATCTAAGTTCAAAGACATTTAGATGAACTGCACTTATTATGAACCGAGGAGTTATCGAACTGCAGACGACATTGTCACTCCGACTTAGAGCACCTCTTACGTCAATGGAAGGGCTTTAACCTTAGGGATGACATCCAATAATGAGCGAACTCTATGACGTATTTTATGGAACCTAGTAAATCCATTAGCAGTTCCAACTACATCAACTGTCTCTCGACTGATTCACGCACATCGTCGATTGCCAAAATAAGCGGACCAAATCCACTCGCTCGATACAGAATCACTCGTAAATCAAACGGAGACTGAGTTACTCAATTACTGTCGTCGGAACTCAAATTGTTTTATTTTGTGTCGCGCCTCCTGATTTAACGCGGCTTTTCGCGGCGACCCGACTTCCTGCCGAGGTAATTATAAAAATAAACAATAATCACTTCCTACGGTGTTGAGGCAGGTCGTTAAGCCGCTGACAGCGGCGCGCACGCATAATTTGAGGGTGGCGTTCGATTTGGCGTAATCGCCGTCTTGTGTGGCGGATCGCACACCTAGCCTTATTGGGCTGCGTCGGACCTTTAGATGCGAAAACCAGCTTTATCTATCGTGTGCGTTCGTATTAAACGGATGACGTTAACGATGTTTTATCGTCTGCAGCTATCGACGAAGCGTTTATCGAAGCGGGTTAATAGTGGGCCGTCAAAACAATAGGCGAGCGTTGCGTTACCGCCGCAACCGCGACACGATATTGCTTTTAAAATTCTTTAAATGGTTGCGGCACTAGGGGCGTGTGGCGCGCTGATATCGCTTCACAGAATGTTGGTGTGCAATAGCGCGCCGGGCAGCTGAAGCAATGCATGGAGAACTATTCTTTTATCAGCAGACATTTCTTGTCCAATAACACGTCAGGCTTTTGATGCCCTTTCAGTTTCCACAATGATTGAAGCCATATTTACGATAATAGAATTTGGCTAACCACAACTCTGATCCGCGGCGAGAGTCTAACCGCAGGATTACGGCAACAAACAGACATTCCCAGTATTGGCCGACCTACTAAACCCTCATCGTGTTTCCGAGGAAAGCGATCAAGTATAAATATGTAGGACGCAGTATATATTTAATGATCTGTTTTAATCATGCAACGTAAAAATAGCATTGGTATTTGTGTGGGCGAAAATTATCAACGTGTCAACTCATTAGAACATTTGAACGTTTTATTCTCAGATTTAGGATATAAATTGCTAAAATTAGGCAGGTACTTTTTACTATTAGTTAGTTATTAAACAGTCTACATATGCGGTTTGTACATATTTGGACAATACTACCGATTAAATAAACCCGATTTATAAAGGAAGACACTGACGCACCGATTTGCTCGTACAATCAATACTCGTCATACATCAATAAACATTTAATGGGCGTATTGTTAATACCAATAAAGAAATATCAAAAAGCCCGGCCGTCTTCCCTTTTCTGGTGTAAGCACAATAAAAAATCATGTCCATTATTTTTCCATGTTCAAAGTAATTTGTAAGGTACCACCGTCGTTAAATCACATCGTGACTCCAAGAGAAGGTAGGAAGTGAAGATTGTCCAACCGATAGTAAAATATGGTTTACCCTTTTACTTATTTAAATTGACGAAATTAAAACGTAAGCCGCGAAGATGGTGGTCCGGCTACGAACCGGTAATGAGGGACTGCGCCGTCCATTTATTTTAAACGGACGATTACTACTAATATTCGCTTTTAATTTGCTGAGTAACGAGCATTGGAGTTGTTAAGCCGTTAAATCACATGTACAACATACATACATGTTATAGGTGGGAATAAAAACTTGCATGCAAAGACAGACTCAGTTCATGACCTTATGTTTTTATAAAGTTTTTATTATAAAGTTTCGACTTGACTAAAAAAAATATGTTAAAAATAAAGTTTGGATGCTCCATTTCACCGAACACTTATCTCCGTAATGAATCCTAGTGCAAATTAACTTAACCCCATTCCTGGCTAAATGAAATTAATTGGGTTAGGCTAAAACAGGGAACCAGCAAACACTGCCTTGGACAGTTCTAGGGCGCTGACAAATATCCTGGCTCGGACGCTTAGGCAGGGTGCAAACGGCAGGCGATGTCGTAGAGTTTCTACAATCGCTAGCAGTCACATTACAATGATATTTCTCTTCAAAGTAGTCGGTTATCGTTTATTTTAAGTCAGTCTCTGTTCAATTTATTTAATTAAAATGCCAGGTTGCTGATAAGTACCTACAGTCACTTAGGATAGATATCAACATATAAATGAATAAAAAAATACCTTAATAACGCGAAAGTCTGCCTAACACTTAAACCCTTAACGGAGAAGTTAAGTTTAATAAATAAAAAAATTCTTCTCCAGGATACACCCGGTGCGGCCATGTTGACGGCTCGAATGTCCACAAAACAAGACATTCCGTCTTTATTTGTTTTCGATTATTTGTATCCATTTGTTGTATAAGAGTAAGAAATATAAGAATTTGTTAAACTTCCATTCTTGTTTGTAAACAGGGCTTGTTGTGCCAATAAATTCAATTGATATGCTTATAAGATATCAGTCGAATTCAACAGGCTGACTAAAGAAGTGGGAATAAGAGCACATCGGGAGATATACTTCATAAAACATATAAATGTAAGTGACATTTGTTAGATCTAAGTTATAAATAAGCATTATCATGTCGCTCCTTTGCTATAATAGTAATTAATTAAGCTCTAATAATTTCAATATGGCATCCATTTATAATTTCCAGTTGTTAATTTAATCCGTTGTCTTCAGGAATGAACTGCATATTGTTCTGGCGCTGGCCTCATGGCACGTGTCGGTAGTTGCCTTTCGTACACAATTGAGATGGGTGGATCAGGCCGACCAAAATGGACAGGACATAGATATGGATATATTCTTTGACAGAGTTGTTCTCTTAATCTGTGACAATTATATTTTGAAAAAAAAAAGATTCACCGAAATACGTGTAACTCAAGGCGTGTTTTTAACTAAACAACACGTTTTGACATCATACAACCCATACAGACATTTAATAAAACTACACGGGTACTTTAAATTTTTCAGAGCATTAAGATTACGCGTTTTATATAAGCGGAAACGGGTGTCACAAACAGATGTCAATTATGTGACACCGTACGTTAGAATAGACTGGTTTCATCAAATTATACCGATGCCTACCGCCACGTCACCCAACGAACTGTGGCATGGGTTTCAAAGAGAATTCAGTCCACTCCACGATCTGATGATCATGAAAATAAAGAGATGGCACGTGTCATTCATCGACCCCAATCCGAGCCTTTACTCATTCACACAGTACGGGGTGGGCCCTCGAACCAGCTACCGACAAGCAGGGCCCATGCTGACGGCGATAGCGTGGAAGGAAGATATATTGGATCAACCGTTCAAATACACTTATTTACATAGAAAACGAGAGTGGGATACCATCATGAGGTCAAAAGCATATGAGGAGGACGAAAGTGTGATTGAAGATTGCGAAGAGTACATGCCCCGGTACTGGGGCTACTTTATTTGTATCAGAAACGTTGACAATTCCAAACGTATTAGATCAGGAGCACTTTTATTTTACAACAACACGTTGTATGGTGTCAGCAGCTTTGTCCTGAAGAAAGGCAACGACAGTATACTGGTCTTCACTGATGTGAGGCCTTATACTGACTTAATATTTGATATCTGCAAAAGAAATAAGATCCGTCCTTATTAATGCCATCCTCAAGCAGTCGTCATTAGAGTAAGTAGAAATAGGTACTAAGTTGGTTCAAGTCAATTGTGGACGACACATCAAGTTCTAATAAATTAGTTAAAATTGTTGTGAGTTTTATTGATAATATAATTCAATCACATTATCATAGAATAGGTTAGATTAGGTTATAACACTGGATCGCAAAAAAAAGTTAGAAAATCTTCAATAACTTCAAAAGTACCTGACCTAGCTTTATGAAATACTAGCTTTCCGCCCGCGGCTTCGCCCGCGTGGAATTTTATCTGTCACAGAAAACTTTATCGCGCGCGTCCCTGTTTCAAAAACCGGGATAAAAACTATCCTATGTTCTTTCCCGGGACTCAAACTATCTCTATGCCAAATTTCATCAAAATCGGTTGCGAGGTTTAAGCGGGAAAGCGTAACAGACAGACAGACAGACAGAGTTACTTTCGCATTTATAATATTAGTTGGGAGTTGGGACTAGCTTTCCGCTCGCGGCTTCGCCCGCGTGGACTACATTATATAGCCTGCATATTTTACGGAACCCTATTTTTTACAAAATAAAATTTAGCCTGTTACTCGTGGATAATGTAGCTTTCGAAGGGTGAAAGAATTTTTAAAAACAGTCCCGTAGCTTTTGAGCCTATTCATAACAACCAAACAAACAAACAAAGTATTTTCCTCTTTATAATATTAGTGTTGAAAGACTAAATTAATTAACTTTTGTATGAAAAATGTAGAATAAATTAAAAAAATATTTCTTGGTAAAAGTTGAAGGAATTAGTGTACTTTTTTTTGTCTGGAATTAAGATTAACATCTCTTTAAATCTTCTACCAGCTAGCGTTAACGATAGTAGAAAGGGTCCTATTCCTATTTGCTATAAATGGCCTTAATCGCCAGGAAATCAATTCGTCTATGTAGCGACATCAAACAAATAGGTCTACCCACTCTCGTTTGGAAATAGATCGAGGTAGATTATAACAATCACAATAATCAACATTTAGGGATTTCCCCTTTGACATTGTAACCAAAACAAAACAGTCACTTATAAAAATATCCACAGTCCACATTAAACCCAAAACATTGTTATGGAAACTTCGGACTGAACTACATAACTCATAAGAAACATTCCAAAATACGGATACCCCAAACAACAAATCATCGCCGAGCCAATAACAATGGTCCCGAAATACATCCTGGAATAATTACGAAACAATCTGCCCGGTATCTAATCCGGCGCCGTCCCAAATACGTAATAGGTATGTCTGTCATCATGTCTGCAGATAGTGATCCTGCAGATATTATCGCGAAATTGTCCAGAAAACGCCAAAATTGACCCACATTCCTTACGCGTTACACTTTAGTTCACCAAACATTTTTGTTAATCAATAGCCCATGATCTAAACTTACACACAGAGCCGTAATTTTGTCATCGTTTTAATGACATAATCACAAGCACTAAAATATTCGTCTTCAACGCAATTAAAACTTCATCCGGCAATATCATAAATCTACTATATAGGTTACGATCATGAATCTAATTTACATTCGAGGGCCTTTCAATACATCATGCGACCACTCAGCGCCTTGCGAACATACGAAGACCAATAAACGTCGGTAGTAAATAAATCATGTATCAAATGAAATCGTAATTCGTCGTTTCGTCGTTCGTCCTCAATCAGTCAGCGTAATGCGACGTCGCTCAAGTCTCAATTAGCAACATTGCAACAAAGCGCAACATACCAATACAAAGGTCCATTTGTCATAATTATGTCACATAATAATACGAGCGACTCTATACATTTAATGTTGTCACACTATTTTCATCCGTAACGCTGGGAGATAAGGCACATTGTTATGCGTAAGTTTGCGTCAATTGATAGTATGGAACAAGTAAAGTTTTTGGCAACGCAAATGCTAACAAATTCCGATCATTGTGAGGCGGTCTTCCGTAGAATGTGTGAAAACAGGAAAATCTATTGATTTATCGAAAGATTCCTTAGAAGAGAGCACATAACTATCGCAGATTTTATGCAACCAGTTTACGGAATTGCAATACTTATGAACAACAATGTAGAGATATAGTTATAAGAACTCAACCAGGTGAAGTTATCATATTTCATTTGTTTAGTAATTAGCATTTCATAAGAAAAATAAAAGTATTTCATGAAACATGAGAGACTTATAAGAACTTTTAGTGCATAAACCGGTAGACTTTCAAGTTAATTTTGTTTATTTCTTTCCTTATTTTTAAGCGCACGTAGGGCTTAATATACGTGCAACAGTACATCAGACTTTACATTATTGTTGCAAATTCGCTTCTATTACAACCACATATGACCCCATGGTGCTAACCTTAAAGCCGTCGTCGCATGAATGAATGGCGCGCGCAGCCGGGCCGCGCCGCGTCGGATGCCCTCCTTGTCGCAGGCGCAATTAGCTGCGATATTCACACCGCCTTATTTTTGGAACAAGCGCCGACATTAAAATCTGACACGTTATCCAATAGTAAGTGCGAAAGTATTGGGATTGTATGGGCTATTTTAAGACTAAAACCCATCTGTGCTGTGAAAAATACTGTTAGAGACTATAGTCTTTAGGCTTTAGTCTAGCAGTGAACCTCTTTTGGTCGAAAATGACAAGGAAGGATATTATAATGAATAATAATATTAATTCTTGAAAAACTTCCGACAATGTAAAGAAATATTTAGAAAATCAACATTACATACGTAATTCCTTTTACATTTCCCCAACAACAGTATCTTGAACGTCCTTGTGCACTCGGAAAAACTTTTGTAAGCCCCAGTTTTGTCCATACGCGCGAATAGACGCGAACAAAGCCCGGTTTTAGTGAGACACACCAACAGTCCCGCCCTTTCATTATAAACACGCCCCGAGTGAGAGACGTGTGAGTAATTTTCCATGTAGAGTGTCTCCGAGGGTTTCTCGCTGATCTGCCTGGATGGTTTCCCGGATACATGACGAAAAGAACAGCCAATTGAGAGCTGAATTTCCTTAAGTGAAAACTTACCAAAGGATGATGGAATTTTATTTGGAAATAAGGCATTTTCTTTCATCCTCTGTACCCTTATACCTTTTAGGACTCCTACATAACTTCTTGACCTTACTTAGTCCTAGGGTTTATGCATTTCCCCGTTACGATTAAGAAATCTATAATGACACAATTGTACACACAAGTGACACACACTTTCTCGCCCGAGTACAATAGTGCACACTCTTTGTAATTCCAGGCGAACGAAGTAAACAAACTGTTCTTAAGGCGATTACATGGCCGAACGACCTTGANAAATCGCTTGAGCCGTTTAGGAGGAGTAGGAAATTTCTTTGGTGAAATTAGAAGAAAGTTAAGAATTTTTTCTGTCAAAACTAATAGTTGTAACAAAAAAAACGAACAACAATTTTTTAGTTTAAGATATTATACATCTCACACATATTTTTTTTTCTTGTTTGGATCATCCATTTAGGAGGAGTAGGGATTCAAAGAGAGGTCTATTTTGCAGTTTTGCCTCACCTATCGCCTTAATGAGCTGCTGCCCGCAACTGGGCCGCATTCCTTCCGCGCCACTTCACCGCGCACTCATTAGCTTTTTTATTCGTTCGAGAGCATGACACGTACATATGTGTCGCTGCCCTATATCGGTGACGGTTTTCCGAAAAATCTGTAACGAATTATACAATTCCATGTTAAAGATTCCACGGGTTATCTAACTGAACAACCGTATTTCCGGCGGTTCTTTTAGCTGGATAAATGCCAGTTTAGCTGAATGTCACGAGGTCCTATTACTAGAACTTTCTGCTTACGGATATAAAATTGGCTGCAAATAATGCTTTTTGATGCAAAAGCCTACCAGAATTCCTGAAACCTGAAAGACACTAACATTCGTTGTAACTTTTTTCAAACCTTTATTTTCTTAACCTATTTAATTATTCTTACCGTATCTATGTAATTATTATGAACTGACATTATTTGGTGGTTGTTGTTGTGTATTTACCCATTCACCTTGCCATTCGCTAACAATGTATCACTCAATAATGTAAGATTGTAAGACATCTCGATCGATGCTCTAGTTCTGAAAGTTCCAAGTCACGGAGGCTGTCGTGAGGTACATCAAGTGAGGCTAAATTACTCCGTGGTGTCATGCCAAAAATAGCTTAACCCTCACGTGTGTAGTAGAGTAGAATAAATAAAAATGCATGTAGTAGGCTCATATCGTGCTGCATAATAATGCTTGCTGCATTCTGTTTCACACAAACATGCACTTGTTTTGCTTTGAAAACCAAATTTTACACATCATGAGATATTTTTACCGACTGTCAGAAATGCGTTTCTTTTCTTTATGCATATTTACTATTTCTAACCCCGCGACGCAAAAAGAGAGGGGTGTTATTGAAAGTGCTGTCTTAAAAAACTTACACAAAAAGTTTTTTTATGCTTTCTTTTATCCAACATAAGGTACTTGGTTGTTCTAAGCAAGTGAACCTGCCTCATTCGGCTAGCTTATGTTACACCTAGGGTTGCCAACTATACTGTTTTGAACAGTATTATACTGTTTTTCACTAAATTATACTTTTTACTGTTGAACAAAAATAAAGTATACAAAATACTGTTTTCAGCTAGCATCACTAGTATCCATAGATATTTTTAAAAGTAAATGCCCAACACCACATTTAAGTAAGCGTTGTAGAGCTATACTGTTTGTTTTTTTTTTTAATACTGTCTGTTTTCCTTCTCCGACCTCTGATATACTTTATATTTTGAAAGAAAAGTTGGCAACCCTAGTTACACCACTCCCCCCACCCCTCTCATTACAAAGCAATCACTCGTGAACCCGACGCCTCCTGCTCATAAACTCGCCCCCAGGGTTGACACACAAACTGTCTTACTTCACACGTATGACACAATTAAACAAGCACGAGACAAAGTTTTTATCGCGATGACACATTTACGTCGCTTTTTCACGGTTGGGCTTTGTTTACA